CAGGTTTCCTCACGATGTTTTCCTTCACCGCCGAGCACGTGGTAAATCAGCACTTAAAATTGCAATTAACAATTTCATTGGTGCCGGCGGGGATTGAACCCGGGTTGCTCGAGTACTGTGAAGCTTACAGCGAGCGCTAACCATCTGAGCTACCACGGCTCATTATTATTAAATAAATATTATTATTTAAAATTTCTAAAAATATGAGTAAGATCACTGAGGATGTCATCTGCTCTACCTACCGTCGTCCTGGTACCAGATATTAAGTTTGGATTTCAAATATGAAATAATGGGTTGAATTCCCAAACTGAAAAGTGCTGGACCTAATGAGTCACCCTGCTAAACACTGACAGCAAAATCGATAATATGGCTTTCGTAAAATAAGTTAGTAATTTAATTGTAACATTGCCAAACTTAAAGATAAAGGAGACGGTCCAAAATTGTATGAAGCGTAGGCCTAGTTTTGTACTAGTATGGAAATAAATTAAAATAAAATACTAAACCACTTTTGATCATTCAAATCCACGAATTTGACTTAATTTCAGAGGTATAAATATTTTATTCTCACTAAAAATGCAACACTAATGGCAGATTGATGTAGTTTTGATTTGACGTTTGACTGAAATATACTCATTCCACCTATAGCCTATCAGGTAGATTTATTATGTAAAATAGGTAAAATTTCTCGCAACTAGTACGAAAGTATGGCAAAAATGTTGTATTTTTTTATTAAAACACAAATAAAGTGTGTTATAGATTGTGTATGTGCTTTTTTGGACTTAAAACAACTAACGTTCTTGTTGATATTTGCATATCATAAATGCAGTTCAGGAGAAAACAAATCTATTTCCAGACAAGAAGATTATTGAGATAAATCAACGGTGCCTACGCACAAAATTATTTCTTTGAATTCATTACTGTGTACTAATGCGCACTTCAGTGCCAGGGGCATCTAGGCCTTTTTTTGTTTTACATGGGGAATGAGGCCTGGGTGTTTTGTTATTTTTTACAAACATTTAGTGCCAGATAGCTCAAATGTGTGTTATATATATAATTATATGTGAATAGCTGGTAACTCCTTTTCTCTACCCTAAAAAATCCACCCAGAAGAGATTCATACTACTTTATTGCACTAATAATAAAGCATAAATATTTAACTTATTTTACCTTAGAGTGCCTGTTTTAAGGTGGAAAAACAGAATAATCCTGAATACTAATTTCTGTCCCGGTATATGTGTCTATCTGGGCTGCTGAAGTGCTAGGGTACTATCATAGATAAGATAAATTGTTATAATATGGTACATTACAGTTGTTACAAAAGAATTCGCATCCTAAATATTCTGCCGTTTTTGGCGTACAAATATTTTCATATAACAGGTCCTCAGCATGTCAGAGTATGCCTTGAGCCTTGACAGACATTTAAAGCCTGGATAATGTCATAACAAAGGTTAACAGTCTTAGGAATAATAAAAAGTAAAACATTCGGTCAGTTATGTTTTGGATACTTAAATTAATATAAATAAAGCAGCTTAATTCTTTTATTTTTTATTTATTTATCCTACTTCAAAATCCTCTCTTACTAAAATGCCATCCAGAGTTGAGGCCGGTGCGGTTATGGAATTTTGATACCGAGCCTAACCCAAATATCAGACAACCGTCATTATGTGGGCACAGCAACCCACTGTCTGTTGTCCAGAAGTGCGACTGCTATAATAACCTGCAATCATCTCATCCCAACTTGTCCCTTGTCTCGCCAACAGTATATATGTACGAGTATAATAAGCACTGCCCGAGTGATGGCGAGACTTTATACGGCCTCTTATTAAAACAGAGTCTTGTTGGGATGCTATTAATTGGGTCACAACTTGTCCGCTACCCAGTCTTCGCTAACACCGAATAGTCTTTTTTCAAATTTGTGCCGAAAGACATTGAGTTATAATGTAGTACATTATAACTCAATGCCGATAGATAATAATTCTTGTAATACGTTTGCAAAACATTGTGAACATATTGGTGCATTTTCATCCGTCTAAAACAAAACAATCTTATTTTAATAAACTATCTATATTGCAGAAGCGCATTTTAAACAGTGCGACATGTTTTAACAGGTGAATTGAAAGAAAATTACATCATATTAAATTTTGCAGGCATTATGAACTTATGTAGAAATTAATAATTACTAACAGATTACAGATAGAAGCATGTCATTCAAATGCGCTTAATAGCTTAAGGAAACACTTTTCTTTAGTACATGGTTACTGATTCAAAGTGTGATTCTACAGAATTATGCATTCACAAGTTCACAACTACACAATCAAGCAATGACATAGAAATGACATTTGACCAAAAAACCGCGCCTTTTTATGACTGGAAGGGCGCCATCTTGTAAAACCATCAAGAACTTGGGATTGCATTTTTATTTTTAGCAAATTATTTAGTTTGATTTATTCTCTCATTTTATTTTTAACAAAATCCCTGAATTTTCCTCTTTTTTACGGTATACTGTACATAGACTGGGCTAGAAATGGACCGTCTCCTTTCGGGGGTATAGAGGTTAAAGGAAGTTAAAAGCAACACTGATGCAGATGTACTTGTCAACCTTGAATTTTTCTCTTTTTTACGGTATACTGTACATAGACTGGGCTAGAAATGGACCGTCTCCTTTCGGGGGTATAGAGGGTATATAGGGAGTTAAAAGCAACACTGATGCAGATGTACTTGTCAACCTTCACAAGAACATCTGCATCAGTGTTTGTTAAAACCACCTCTAATGTCAAGGCCTAGTTTAGTAGGCTGAAATTTTGTCTTTAGTTTAGAGATTATGTGCCTACAAGCTAATTTTGAAGATAGGCGTCAAAATGTGGAACCAACGGCAATAGGACGGATAGCGATAGCGGATACGGATAACATATATGTTAAACTTATTGAGGAAAGTTATAAGCCTCTTGTTAATAAGTTATTCTATAACTCTTGAGATTACCGGCAATACCGTAATTGGTCTATACTTATTGATATCCTTCTCATCTCCACTCTTATGAACCGGTGTTACTAAGAACTTCTTGAGCAAAGATGGAAATATACCTTTACGAAAATAAAGATTGACTAAATGACACAGAACTGGCACAATTTTTGTTCTTGTAAGTTTTACGAAACTAGTTGGAACGTTATCCCAGCTTGGTGCACTGTTTTTAGATTTTAAGGACATCAGAATAGATTGTATTTCTTTTATATCTATATCATATAGAGAAAAAGATGATGTCTGAGAATATGTAGAATTATGCATAAATTTTCTCTTTTTTGGCTAGACAATCGCATTTGTCAAGTTTTTAATTACACAGCTAAAGTAGCTATTAAATTGATTGACGGAATCTCTCGCAAAAAGCCCAATTTGCAGTATCTTTGTGTTATCCGTTTTATAGTGCTTCCTATATTATGTTACTTTAGCGACATTTTTCTAGAGATTCTTAGAATCACCTACCGAGATCTCCAGAAGCTTCTTTTCATATTTTCGTTTCATATTTCTAAAATTTTTGCAATAATTTCAGTATCTTCGGTAGGAAGTTCCAAGAATCTCGTCGTTAGGATTTTGACGGAGCTTTTTCTGTAGATTATTCCTGTGCCTGATACAACTATGCACTCCTTGAGTCTTTAGCAATGTGATATTTTCTTTACGCGATTGATTTTTTTTTAATTTTCCGTCGTACCATTCCTAGGATTAGATTGTAAACAAACGGCGGCGTTACATTCGCATCGTTCCGTGACTCATCGCTCTCACAGATCGATATATTAGTATCGTCGTGGCTCATTATCAGGTAAATAAAAAGAAGGCTGGAGGAGGTACTTACCACGTACACACGTCTGAGCAAAATAGCTATATTTAAGATTTTTCGCTTACACTTCGCTTTTGGTTGCGAATAAAGCGCAGTCAGGCGTGCTGTTGTTAAAAAGAGATGAACGGAGATTTGTCAACTCAGCGACCATTTGAGATGTGTGTGCTACTAGTGGAATTCCAGTGCATGCGAGCGAGGGACGTAATAAGTGCAGCCAGTGGGTGCGTGCAGGACAGGAGCAGATTGTCAATGTGTTTCAGCTGTGAGGACTAAGATGGAATGCCTCTTATCCAGTAAAAAAAAAGGTCCCCGGTTCTCTACACTCACCATACGAAACACAGCACAGCAGTTTTAAGCTGCTATTTTACGCTGGTATTCTATGAGAGCGTGATCTTTCCCCGGACGAGCATACCCATTCGTGCTACAACTATACTACCAGTATAGCTGCAGCATAGCTCTACCACGTATAAAATCGTTTCTCTGAGTAATTCATTGCTTATAACATCAAATAGATTTCGTTAAGGTGCTTGCACTCCCAATTGTATTAGCATTCGGTTGGATATTGCTAAAATTTATCTTCCAGTAATGTCAAAGTTTTGTTAAAAATTTCATCATTAAATTTAATTTCTAAGTCCGGATTTTGTCGTCGTAATTCAACCAGGATATCGTCACTCGTGCATTCTCTATACTTTAACGATGATGACGATGATGGAAGATGGTACTTCCGAGTAAAGTAAAGTTTTAGGAAATGGATCTTCTCGGCATAACTCGAAAAACGCAGTCAAAGTTGTTCTCGTTGGTGGTTTTGTTTAACTTAAACTTTTGCTGTAGTTTCTTAAGTAAAGAAGATATGTTGCCCGTTTTCTAAGTGAAAAGATAGATGAACCACCTCTGGATCGCGATCGTATATTGGTAAACCTGTGAGCCACTGCAAAGACAGTCATATCACTGTCCTTGTTAATATACTATACAGATATAGATTGTATGGAATAACTATTGATTGTTAATTTCAATTTCTTCATTTCCTCGTATTTTAATTTTTAATGTATTTTTTTTTTTTTTTTTTTTTATCTGTCTTTATTTAAAAAGGCTTTTATCCTACAAGGATATGTCAGCCTTATCGTAACCTAGCTTGTTCCCGTTTCACCAATGCTGTTTGGAAAGGGGCAATCAATGTGGTAAAAATATGGTACTGACTGATTTTGCTACCGCTGAGTGTGGCTCCGCAAGTATACTCAAAAACCAACCCGTTTCACACAAATTGATACTAAATTTTTGTACCAGATTCTCCCTTTCCCTTTGATATTTGACACATTCTGCTAGCATATGTTGGACATCTTCTACAATATGACAAATATCGCAATTGGGCGAGTCTGCTTTTTTCATTAAAAATACAAATTTTTTATTGGGGTAGTGCCCAGAACGTAATCTATGAATAACAATTATATGGTTTCTATTCATTTTAATATTATTATACCACGGTATTCGAAGAGGCTGACTTTGTATTGTTTTATACCATATTCCCTTTTCCCTGCTTCTTTCATCGAAATACTCTCTAAATTTATCATAACACAGGTTTTTGAATTTTGTCAAGATTTCCGTGTAAATTGGTAAAATATTTAATTCGATTCCATGCGTTATAGCTGCTTTTGCTAATAGGTCAGCCTCTTCGTTTCCCTTTAAACCTATATGCGATGGAACCCATTGCAATTTTATGTTTATATAGCGACTTCTGTAATTATATAGTTGGTTTAATATCCCATAAGCTATCGGTGCACCTCTGCTATGACCAGAGGCGCATCGAGCTAAATGTTGTAAAGCGCTTTTGCTATCTGAAAAAATAACAAAATATTGTCCACTTAAATTGCTAATATATTTCAAAGCTTCAGATATTGCAACGAGTTCCATCGTCATTATTGATAGTCCTAGTTCTGTTCTAAACATAGCTGTAATTTTTTCTTTAGGATGACAATATGCAGCACCTAAACCTACACGATTCTTAGATCCGTCAGTAAATATTTGGTGCCAGTTAGCATATTTTTCATCTATTTCCTTTAATACATAGGTTCTAAGAGACATAGCTTCATGACTGTTTTTATTCTTTTGAACACAATCTAAATTCACTTGAATAGTTTCATTTATATCTATATAGGAAACCCAAATATTAAGTTTAAACATTTGTAACGGATAAGAATTGTGAATATTACATAGTTTACAGTCATCGTATGCAAGTAAAAGTAATGGTTTTTTTTTATTGTGCCAGTATCTATTATTAATAACAGAACTAAGATCATTCAGTATTTTAATTGTAGCATTATCTGTCCAAGACATGTTTTTGATACAGTATTTATATGCTAAATATTGTCTTCTTACGAACAATGGTTGAATGCCTAGCTCACTCTCCATAACATGGATAGGTGTACTTTTGATAAAACCCCCCATAATTCGAAGTGCTTTATTTTGGATCTTATCTAGTTTAGACAGATGTGTTTTAGCGCTATTATCGTATAAAAAGCATCCAAAATCCAGCCGACTTCTTAATAGAGAGATATATATAGTGCGCATATGCTTAGGATGTACACCCCAAGCAGGCCCGGACAATACTTTTAGTATATTTAAGAATTTAGAAGTTTTTTCTACGATCTCATTAACATGTTTAGTCCATCTCAACGATTTGTCCAGCCATAGCCCTAAGTATTTAACATTTTCATGTACCGGGATAATATTGTTATTAATGCTTAAAGTAATTTCTCTTCTTTTATAACCTCTGATAAAAACACATAATTTTGATTTAGATGCCGATAATTGGAGTCCTATTTCATCTAGCAAAATTATCATTGCATTTACTGCAGTTTGTAAATTATTTTCACAATTCTGTAAGTTCTTGTCACTCACATAGAAAACAAAATCATCGGCATATTGAGACACAAAGACATTTTGAATCTGGCGACAAATCCTGAAGGTTACAATATTAAAAAGTAAAGGAGATATTGGATCTCCTTGGGCAAGGCCCCTGTTGGTACACCTAATATCGTGAGCATAACCCTTTTTCTCATTTTTAATCATTAAATATCTCTCACTTAAGAACGACCAAAGATAGTTACATATACCTTTGCCAATTCCTATTTCATCTAATGTCTTAACAACTTTATCCACTAAAATATTATTATATGCATTTTCAATGTCAAGAAAACAAGCTGCGGTTGGGATGTTACTAGTAAAGCCTAACTGTGTATAAGTTACTAGCCTTGATAAACAGTCTAGACAAGATTGAGCTTTTCTAAAGCCGTTTGTGTGTGATGACAAAATATTGTGATTTTCTACATACCATTCTATTCTCTTACCTAGCATGTTGTGAAATATTTTGCAGAGACAGGAAATGAGAGAAATAGGTCTAAGTTTAGTTTCACTATTTAGTTCAGCACCTGCCTTAGGAATTGGGACTACTAAAATTGTACGCCACTGCTTCGGTACCATGTTGAATCTAAATATGTCATTATATAAGTATAAAAGATATTTTTTCCCAGCTGGCGGTAAATTAAAAACCATGGAGTAAGTGACTCCATCATTTCCCGGTGCACTGTTCTTCTTTTTTAAGCTATGATCCAATTCTTGCTTTGTGAACGGTACTTGTAGTAGCTTATTACACGATACAAACTGAGGTGGACAACCCAATGCAGAGTCGGGCGTAAGGGAGCGAAGTAGGTCCTTTTTCTTATCCTCGGATGGATGAAATGTTACTTGTTGGTACCCTTTAAACCAACGCATTTTTTTCCACATATCTGATACCGTTGTAGACGCATCAATCTCATTACAAAATTTCTTCCAAGCATGGGATTTAGCCTTTTGTATTTCGTTTTTGGCTTTTGTTACCATCTCTTCTAATTTTGCATAATTATTTGGTGTAGGATTTTTTCTGAATGTACTTAGGGCAAGTCTACGTTCTGCGACTGTTTTAGATAGAGCCGGGCACCAATATTTTTTTGGTTTAAATTTACTAGCTGGGTTTGAACAAAATCTGATTACTGGTATATTTTTATTCGCTGATATATTAATTTGTTCAAGTAAATAGTCGTATGAATTTTGAATATCGCTCGTCGAAAAATCATGATTATATCTCTCTGAAAATGAATTAATTAAATCTTTATTGTATAATTTCCAATCAGCTTGTTTAAAGTTACGTTTCTCGTTACATTCAAAATAATCTTTAAAGCTCATTGATAATTTTATAATAAGATGATCACTTCCTAAATTTTCGTTAAGTACCTGCCATTTAAAGTTTATAGCTATATCGCATGATACGAAGGTTATATCTGGTGATGATTTTCGTAATACATTATTGACTAATTTAACTCTAGTTGCCTCACCATTGTTGATGGATGTAAAACCGTTTTCTAGAGATGAGTCGAATAAATGTATACCTCTCTGGTCCGATTTGTAGGACCAGTTAGTGTGATGCCCATTGAAATCGCCGGCGATCAAAGTTTTTTTTAGATGTTAAACTAAAAATATTATCCCAATCCGCTGGAGATGTACGTACCGTAGATGGGCAATAAATTGAGAAAATATTGTGTAAATTCTTACAATTAAGCAATTTAATACGAATAACTTCTATACGAGGATTTACTAAATTGACGGGACAAATATGTGTTTTAAGCGATTTATGAGTAATGACAGCCACACCCCCATAAGAGTCAAATCGATCCTTACGATAAATATCATATCCATTAATATGGAGACGAGTCTCTGCATTCAACCATGTTTCAGAAATTATTGCAATATGTATTTTTTCTTGATTCAAAAGAGCCTCGAGACTAATTAGTTTAGGTTTCACACTTTGTGAGTTCCATTGAATTATATTTAAATTAAAGCCTTTATCCATTAAACAAATTAAAAACACTTTGAGCGAAACCTTCACCTGCAAAAAAATTAGCTATATATTTTCTGATTTCTTCACATATGGCTTTCAGCACTAAAATAACTTTATCTTCAAATGTATCCCCTGAAATGATGATTTTTTTAATTTTTGTAACAAATTTCCAAATAGCGAATGTACTTTTTCTTTTTTGTATGTTTTCTTCTGTATCTGCATCGTCGCTGACTTCACTATTTCCTAGAAAATTTCCTTCACTATCACCACCTATGTTATCAAACTTCTTTTCATGTTTTTTGTGTCCTTTGGTCTTACCCTTTCCTTCTTGTTTTCTTATATTAAGATTTTTCTTTTGAGAGATTCCGTTATTAGCGTTTTTCATATTATTTTGTTCTTGTAACGGCTCCCCTGAGGAGTATTGATGCAAAACACTGCTATATGTTTTCCTTGTAGATTTTGAAGGTCCTAAATCTGACATCGCTTGTGGTTGCAGAACATTATCTATTGTATTTCCAGGTATAATGACACTATCACAATTGTTACTAGCAGTGGAAATTTGAAATGATTCGTCTGGTTTTTTATTTTCTTTAATGTATTTAAAATACATTTCCAACGCTTTTTTGTACATTACATTATGTTCACTCATCAAACAACGAATCTTTTTTTCCTTTACAAAAACCGGACATGTCTTATCAAGAGCCATATGTGGCCCTTTACAATTTGGGCACTCAAAAACATCTCTTTCACAATTATCATGCGCTCCTCCACATTTAGGGCAGATATTTTTACTTGACTTGCAAAACTTTTTTATATGACCAAATTTCCAGCACCCAGAGCACTGAGTAACTGGAAATATATACCTTTCTACTTCAATTCTACAGCCATAAATGGATATAAATGAAGGTGCAAACTCGTTTTCAAAACATAATCTTACTGTTTCACTGTCTATCCATTTACCTCCTATGTCCATGCGTTTTAATCTTTTGGCTGAAACAATATTATATGTACTGCTGATGTTTTGTAAAAATTCCTTCTCATTAATTTCCATTTCTATCCCCCTTATTATTCCATATGATAAATGACTTATATTAGTAAAATGAGCTCTTATATCTTTCTCAATAAGCTTCTTACACTTAATGAGGTTTTCAGCTTGTGTTTTATTATTAAATTGGATCAGAACTTTGAAAGGGCTTTTGTATTTAATTTTAATTACGTTCGATATCTTTTCATCCCTTAATAATCTAGCTAGGGTCATTTGTTTAGGGAGTACTTGCAAACCAAATAAGCTTACCTCAAATACTTCGTTAACGCTGTGTTCGTTACTTATTATATTTTCATTATTATTATCTGCAGATTCACTTCTAATAAACCTTTTCGTCTTCCTTCTTGTTACAGTTTCAAACCCGTCTTCACTACTACCTTCACTTTCTCGCGGTCTTTTCTCATTTTTTTTTGAGTTCTGAATTAGCCGTGTTTGCACGTTTGATAACTCTTGCACACCCCGTTCACTCTCCTCTATTATCGCCGACTCATTCATATCAGAATTATCACAATCCGATTCGTTCTCGTCCATTATTACTTAAAAGTGGGTAGGTTAAGATACGTTCGCACAGTACCGAGTAGCTAGTTAATAACTACGTACGCTCGCCACAGCGTCTCGCGTGCGACTCAATTTTTAATGTAAATCCGCCTTGTTCTCCCAATCGACATCAATAAAATAGATTAGAATAGAATGATTTTTATTCAATATGGATTATTACATAATACTTATTGAAAGTCATTATTTTTATTTACCACTGGTTCGGAAAATACCTCTGTCCTGGGAAGAACCAGCAAGAAACCCAGCGGGACTTTTTTTTAAACATAATTTCACTTAAAATAATGTTGTTTATACAATTTTAAATAAATTTTCATAGAACCAGCATGGTGGCAATCACCTTATTCCCAGGGGTTATTTTCATTCATCTATTCCTTGATATTATAATAACCCTTTTTGTACAGTTTTTCTTTAATAAAACTTTTAAACTTGTTTTTTGACGAACTTTGAACATGTTCTGGGATTTTGTTGTAAAAGCGTATACATTTCCCCATAAATGAATTACTAATTCTGTGGAGTCTATTAAGTGGCATTACAAGCTTATGTTTTTTCCTAGTGTTTAAGGTATGAACATCCTTATTCTTATTAAAACTATTTATGTTTTTATGTACATACATTACATTTTCATAAATATATTGCGATGCCAAAGTTAATATGTTTATTTCTTTAAATTTTTCTCTGAGGGACTCTTTACAATTTAGATTATAAATCGCCCGTACGGCTCTCTTTTGCAAAACAAATATAGCTTCAATATCAGTCGCATTACCCCATAGCAAAATTCCGTAAGATTACGCTATGAAAGTAACTAAAATACACTAACCTAGCTGTCTCAACATCTGTGAGACTTCTAATCTTTCTTACAGCATATGCTGCAGAACTAAGTCTGCTTGCTAATTTAGATATATGGGGGCCCCATTGAATTTTCGCGTTAATAGTAATACCGAGAAAAACAGTGGTAACCACAAGACTCATCTCCTCCCCATTTAAGAGCACATTGGTTTTCGAATGTTTTACATTAGGTATTGTAAATTTAATACATTTTGTCTTATTGACGTTTAAGAGCAAATTGTTGGCGTTAAACCAATGTACTAGTTTCGTTAGATCATTATTTACATCGTCATATTTAATTGACTGCCGTTTCAGTTTGAAAATTAAAGATGTATCGTCAGCAAATAATACTATATCGTGATTGTCCCCTACAAGATAAGGTAAGTCATTAATATAGATTAAGAACAGGAATGGGCCAAGAATCGAGCCCTGAGGAACGCCCATTGATACTACCGATACGGAGGAACATTTACCATTGATGACGACTTTTTGAGTTCTGTTACTTAAATATGAAGTAATAAGTCTAAGCGCCAAATTTTTTTACTCCGTAATGTTGTAGTTTCCTGATTAATGTATCATGATGAACACAATCGAAAGCCTTGGAAAGGTTACAGAAAATACCTAAGGCATCTTGTGAATTCTCCCAGGCATTATAAATATATTTCATAGGCTCAACACCGGCGTCAGACGTCGAGCGACCCCTTGTAAAACCAAATTGATTTTTATGAAGTAATTTATTTGTATTAAAAAAAATTAACAACTGATCCAAAATTATTTTTTCAAAAATTTTACTGAGAGTTGGTAGTATAGAAATAGGTCTATAATTAGCGGGGTCCAATGTACTACCAGATTTAAATAAAGGTATTACTTTACTGTACTTCATTAAATCAGGAAACACACCAGAATCGATACAAGTATTAAAAATAATAGCAAGATGAGGTGCAATTAAATCTATTATGGACGCAATCACTGTAACGGAAATCCCCCACAAATCTGCGGTTTTCTTTACATCAATGGTTTTGAAGTATTTTACAATATTATGCGGTAATACTTTTTCAAATCTAAATTCTTTTAAACAGGTATTAACATTTTGTTTAAGTAATGACTCGGCGACAGTTGGAGAAGTATTCAATGACTCTGTTGTCAAGATAGGAAAATCAGTGAAATATTTCTCAAACACCGCTGCAACTTCTTGATTTGATTTAGGCAATTCATTATTAATTTTTAATTGATAGTTTGAGTTACGAGGTTTCTCTTTACCGGTTTCGCTGTTAATTATACTCCACGTCATTTTAATTTCATTATTAGCCGTTTTAATTTTGTTACTAATATGTAATGATTTGGCTGTGGAGCAAACTCTTTTAAACATTTTAGAATAATTTTTACTTATTCTTTAAAAGCATCGGAAATATTATACGATCTTTCATGGTAAAGGTCATATAACCTTCGTCTGCTTTTATGAATTCCTACTGTCGCCCACTCATTAAATGCCTTGCGACTGTTTCTGGAGAATGTTTTAGAAGTGAATGTTTTATTAAATTCATTGTTTATAAAGGTAAATAATTCTCTATATAAATAGTCTGCATTGTTCTTATAAGAAAGGGATGGAAGGTTTTTTACCATATTACTTCTAAATCTCTTCAGGCGTTTTGCATTAATAGGAACAAACACAATTTTCTCAATTACCCGTTTTTTGTGCATATAAGGTAACGAAACCAGTTGTCCACAGTGATCTGAACTAAATTTTTGAATTATTGATTTGTTGATTGGTACAACACCTGTAAAAATATTATCAATACAAGTTGCACTACACCCTGCAATACGTGTAGCGTCAAAGAATAAATTATTAAGATTATAGGATTTGAACAAAGAACAAAATTTAATACTGATGGAAGAAGTTTCCAGGAGATTGATATTAAAGTCTCCACACACTACAAGAGATTTATTCTGTTTATTAAGCTTAACTAAAACTTCTTCCATAAGTTTTTCAAAAGTATCATAACTTGAACATGGGGGTCTGTAAACACTGACAACAATAAGGTGCTCAAGCTCAACACATGCCATTTCTACAGTATGCTCAACAGAGAGGCTCACAATGTCTTTACGTTCTTTACATGATAAGGACTTATTAGCTAATATTAAGGAGCCACCACGTAATTTAGTATCTCTATTGAACGAACTGAC